GCCGCATAAAACTGCATGCCTCAACCATACCTCAGCTTTCTGTTGAAACTGTTCTCTGTAACCCCTAATGTGACAGGCAAGCAGTCCAAACCCACGCCATCTTGGCCCCTGCGACTTGTAATGAGTAATTAAAGTCTGTGATTTCCACCCTACCCAGACAATGTGTAAACAAATGCTTATCTTGACTTTTGTGTACCACTTAAGTAACAATCAGAATGTCAAAAGTCCCCTGGCCCTCCGAATGTCCGAAGCCCCTCACCCTCATCTTCGCCCAGGAACCACTGGAATGTCCAGAGCCCCTCACCCTCATCTCTGCCCAGGAGGTTATTTATACAATCCACTAGCCCCTGGAATGTCTGAAGCCCCTCACTCCCAACCCCGCCCCTCACCCTCACCCCCAAGGTGGTTTTACGCGTATAAAATGTCTTGACACCCTCCTTTCGGGGCCATGGGCTGGAGAGACGAGAGTCCTCTGTGGCTGCCGGCAATAACGACCCTGCAATTTGGCATACTTTTGTCTTGGTGTTGAGTTTCTATGCTTGGGCCAGTACACCAATACTACATACCAGGCACTTATCTAGGTCCTTGGGTCTATATGAGGGAGCAAAATCTCCCTTCCCACCTGGAGCTTTCATGATGAATAATGACAAAATTAATGTTCATTGAATGCTTTCTATGAATAATATTCATGACATTTAATCTTCATGACAACCCTATGAGATAGATATGGTCATAATCCCTATTTTACAAGGGAGAAAAAACGCTGGGCAGAGAGGTCAAATAACTTGCTCAAGGCTATAGCTGGTAAATGGTCAAGATTCACACTCAGGGAGTCTGGCTTGAAAGCGCCTTATCTTAACTTCTCGGCTATACTGCCTCTTATATACAGATACGCAGACACGTACAATAAATATTAGTTGAAACAATGGCTGGATGCATAGCCCTAGAAGAACAAATACATTATTTTGGGGTCGGGGAAAGTCAGAATGCTTCACAGAGAAAGTGACAGAGCTGATCCTTGAAGGCTAGGTAAGAGTTTGTTTTTTAAATTCTTTTTTCTTTCATGTCAGACAGATAATGTGCCAATGTCATAACAAGGCATACACCTCAAGGGTGACTCACCTCACACATGTGTATGAACACTCAATCACATGCTTATGAACTACAAAAGGATCATAGGTAAGAGTTCAAAGGATGTAAAGGAAGTGAAGGAGGGTGATTGTGGTGTGTGTGGAGGCGGGAGACATTGCAGGCAGAAGGCACAGCATCTACAAAGGCATGAAAGCAGAGAGACATACGTGCTGAAGTGTGAACAGCAGACACTCACTGTGGCTAGTGCATAATGGAGGTTGGAGAGAAGAGGTCAAAATAATAGAAGGGAGTTATATTGTGAAGGCCCTGTTATGCCCCACTAGGTAGTTTGAACTTGGTCCCACAGATACTAAGAAGGGAGACTCTTAAGAATGACATTCTGATGCCACAGGTGAAAATGAATTCTAGGGAGAAGGGATGATACCTAATGAGACCAAAGCTGCTGAAATGGGATTGCCAAAGAGCTCAGATTTCAAAGACTATGAACAAAAGGTATAATCAATAACTGGAATAGAGAAGCACCATGTTCTCTTCCAACTATGAAATTTTCTACCTTACCTTCTCTATCACCGTCTTTTTATTAAATGGAATCTTCAAATTCCCCCTTCTGGTTACCCATGACTTCAGGGATCTCAATACCATTGAATGGTACTAAATTCATAATGACAGTTCCAAGATTTGAAATTATTTGCTGATTATCTTTCAGACATATTTTCAAGCAGATGGCTTTGCCTCCTACCAGAGAGGTATGGAAAACAAGCAGACTAAGATCTCTTCCCAGGTGGGTAAACGGTGATCTTAGAAAAGATGAAGACTGGGATGAGCTCCAGGGCTCCAGGGCAAGTGCTCTGGGAGGTGAGTTTGAACTTGTAAAGATACTTTCTTTTGTTTTGTTTTGGGGACAGAGTCTCGCTCTGTCACCCAGGTCGGAGAGTGGTGGTGTGATCTTGACTCACCACAACCTCCACCTCCTGGGTTCAAGCGATTCTCCTGCCTCAGCCTCTCAAGTAGCTGGGACTACAGGCGCCCACCACCATGCCAGACTAATTGTTGTATTTTCAGTAGAGATGGGTGTTTTGCCATGTTGGCCAGGCAACTTGAACTCCTGGCCTCAGATAATCTGCTCGCCTCAGCCTCCAAAAGTGCCGGGATTGTAGGCGTGAGCCACTGCTCCCGGTCCAGATTCTTTCTTTCTTTCTTTCTTTTTTTTTTTGAGACGGAGTTTCATTCTTGTTACCCAGGCTGGAGTGCAATGGCATGATCTCGGCTCACCACAACCTCCGCCTCTTGGGTTCAAGCAATTCTCCTGCCTCAGCCTCCTGAGTAGCTGGGACTACAGGTGCATGCCACCATGCCCAGCTATTTTTTGTATTTTTAGTAGAGATGGGGTTTCACCTTGTTGACTAGGATGGTCTCGATCTCTTGACCTCATGATCCACCCACTTCGGCCTCCCAAAGTGCTGGGATTATAGGTGTGAGCCACCGCGACCGGCCCCAGATACTTTCTTAATCAGCAATACCAGATCTGTTTTGTGCATCCCTGGTATATAGCACCTACTGAAGTGCTGATTCAAGTTAGCTGCTCAGTAAATGCATGTTAAATGGGACCAAAAGTCCAGAAGGCAGATTGAACCACACCACTGTGGCTGAATCCCACCATGCTGCCTGTCTTGGGCTCCCCCCACACTCAAGTTACACACAAGCATAACTCAAGTTTCTTTGAGAATAGAAAGGACTAGAGGAACCTAGACAATGCATTTCCTATTCTGTGCAAAGCCCCTAGTATGAAATGGCACAGAAGTAAATGACACTCTGTCCAGTTTGCTTCTATAATTGTCAAAACCCATCCAGGAGTCAGAAGAAATATATTAGGGGACATGATAGGGATCACTCAGTTGTCTCTGCTGTGGAAAGATTTTACATTCTCTTCTGCTCTTTGGCATTCTCCTATAAATGATCTCTGCCATTTAGACCTCATCTCTCTCAATTTAGGATGAGAAGAAAAGGCTAATTTAAGTCAAGGTTTCCAGTTTTAGATGCTGTTTTTCCTAACATTTCCCCAGATATAAAGAAAAGCTGGGCTAGAGCCCTCAAAGGGTTTGCAGTCTGGAGAGGTACTGAGGAGCTGGGTGTATGAGATAATGAGGTTATGAAACTGGTTCTACATGACTTGTCAGTCTCGATATTTTATAATCAGACTGTGTGAGTGTTTGGAGATGTATGTAGCAGGTGAGAAAAAGGAATATTAACTATAGATTAGAAATTGACAACACTTGAACAATCACCAAGCGAACCTTCTGCTCTGATAAGGCAAGTATCTGTCATTTTGAAAGAAAAACTATGGGGAAAGTTCCCTATTATAATGTTTATAAGAAAAATCTCAATATTTGGAATAAATTCTTAAATAATGCACATTTCTCTTTTCATGATGTGACCAATAAATGAGATCCAAAGTAACAAATAACTGTTTCTATTGGAAACACATACAGATTATTTTGGGCGGCAATTTTCTAAGTTTAAGGTGATGGTACCATTAATAGTTGATAGTGAGTTACACAATTTAAGGCTTTCAATAGTGAATTCTGAAATTGATGACATACAACGTATTAGTGTGTGGATTTCTGGGAAAAGCTCTAAGAAAGAATTTGGAAATTCTGGAGAAAGTCTGAACTGTGTTAAAGCAGCAATAGCTTCTGTAATCTCAGAACTGCCTTCTTTCCCTTTTTCTGTCTTGGCTAGGACCACGAGCTGCCAACATTGCATGTCTGACTTTCCCTTGAAAATACTGCTGATGGAAAATGTTATTTCAGCCATTAGAGTTAAAATCTCTCTCTCTCTCTCTCTCTCTCTCTCTCTCTCTCTCTCTCTCTGTCTCTCTCTCTCTCTCTCTCTCTCTGTGTGTGTGTGTGTGTGTGTGTGTGTGTGTGTGTGTTTACAAGTCCAGACTATTATTTACTGCAAGCTTGGACTTGTTTGGAATAAAATAAACAATCAAACATAATCTCAAAGACATTTCTGCTCAACAGTGCATCCTGGGGACAAATTATGCAAAACAATACAAATCAAAGACGCAGGAAGGAAAAACAAAATGGTCAGTAGGTTCACAACAAAGTGCATCACAAAAACATTCTTCAAAAAGTTTGTATTTTACTTTTGTCCACAAATAATTAGCTGGTTAGATTACTGTTTGAGAATCCTGTAACTTTTAGTAAGTGGACTATTTTCTTCAATACAAAGAAATCAGGGCTGGGCATAGGTGCTTTATGCCTGTAATCCTACCAGCCAGGATTACTTGAGCTCAGGAGTTCGATACCAGCCTAGGCAACATAGGGAAACTCCATCTCTACAAAAGTTACAACAATTAGCCAGGCGTGGTGGCACAGGCTTGTAGTCTCAGCTACTTGGGAGGCTGAGGTAGGAGGATCGCTTGAGCATAGGAGGCAGAGGTTGCAGTGAGCCATGATCGCACCACTGCACTTCAGCCTGGGCGACAGAGCAAGCTGTCTCAAAAAAAAAAAAAACCTCTGTCTGGAAGTCCCAAGACTGGAAGTCCTTACTTATTATTTCATTGTCAAACTCCTTTCCCCCATCTCTTGATTTCACCTCTCTCCATCTCCAACCCAAGAAAGAATGACGAGAAATTGACATCTTTGGGTTTGCAGCTCTTTCGAATTGACTTGATGGATGTTAGCACAAACTGGGTGCGCTTTGGGTATAGGGAAGTTGAGGTCTCAGAAAATCTTTTCTATATATACACCAGGCCCTACGAGCTCTCACTTTCTTGGCGCACGCACCAAACTCTCAAAATAAAACCACCAAACAGGAGAAGGGGAGGCGTCGCTCACCACTCCCGCCATCCTGAGGCTGCCAACTCTTTCCCTCCCATCTGCCCCCTCGGATGCCCGCGGGGGAGTCGCGGTGAAAACAGCGCTGCGGCGAGGCCGCCGCGGACGCCCCGTCGGATGTGCCCTTCGCGGGAAGCGCTCGTGCCCACCTTGCTCGCAGGTGCCCTTGCTGACCTGGGTGATGGCCTTCTCCCCGCGGCTCTCGGCCCTCTGGCTGGCGGCGCGCAGCTGGCAGCCGCTGGGGTAGGTGGTGCCGTCGCTGCCGCACACAGGGTAGCGGCTCTTGCACACGCACACGCCGCTCACTCCCGGGCCGCCGGCTGCTGCCCCGGCTTTACCCTTCCGCCTCTTGCGGCTCTTCACGCACTCCATGCCCGGCGCGCAGTACCCCCTGCCGGCGCCGCCGCCCCCGCACGGCTCGCCCTCGCCCCGGGCGCACATCGGGCAGCAGCCGCACGCATCGCGGGTCTCGCCCAGCAGGCAGCCTAGCGGGGGCAGGGGCGGGCAGGCGGCCGGCTCGCAGGGGCCGCAGGTGTCGGAAGAGGAGGAAGAGGAGAGGGGCAGGAGCAGGAGCAGCAGCCCCGCGGAGCCTAGGAGCAGGGCGCGCAGCGACGGCCGCTCCATGGCGGGGCGCGGTGGCAGCAGGCGGGGGCACGAGTGAGCCGGGTCTGGCCGGTCCGAGCCTTAAATCCACGCCCCGCCCGGCCCGGCCCGGCCCCAAGAACCACACCCCGGCGTGGGGAGAGCACGTGGGCCCCGCCCGTGCCGCGCTCCCGGGCCCGCGGAGCCTGCGCGCGCACTCCTGCTGGCGGGGTGTGGAGGTGGGAGACTTGGCGGTTCTGGGCCCACGGGGCGCTTGGTCTCAGGCCCGCCTCGCGGAGCGCGCCCCACCGGCTCCCGCCCGGTCCCCAGTCCCCTGCCCCGAGCCTTCAGGGATAGCCCCGCAGTTCGAGCGGCTTCTCCACCCTCTGGTTTCTCGTCGTTTCAGTCCCTGTATTTAAACTTCTTAACAACCACCATTTCGAGACGACCCAGGGTTTTATCTGTTAAATCCGCCGTGGACCAGAGACACCTGAGTGCTCATTACTGTGTAGTTTGGGAAGTTCTTTTAGGAACAAGCTGTTGAAAAACCCCACCTGTGGATTTTGTGCCCGCGCTGGCCACAGGCCCGCTGTAGTCTTGGGAGTCAGGCACTAAAAGGACAAATTGTGGCCAACCGCTTTCTGGAAACCTTCTAACTGCCTGCACCTCCCTCCCCGTTTCCCCTCCCGGTGGCATTCGACAAAAACTCTGCGCTTTTTTTTCTTTCTTTCCTTTTTTTTTTTTTTTTTTTTGTGCTGAGCCAAGTTTTCAGTGAGTACTGGAATCAGCGTGAGAGCTGGCCTGTTTTGAGTTCTTGCTGAACTGCTGGCCCTCCAGCAAGCCTCTCGGGAGAACAGAGCGCAGCTGAGAGGAACGGGGGTCCCAGCTCCTCCCTTGGTGAAGGCACCCCTGTCTTTACCAGCATTCCGGGAGGTTTTTGATATAAACGAGGGACTTTTCCTCAATCTTTCTGCAAAGTGCTCTCCAAACTCTACTTGAAAGCCTCTTGTCAGGAACCCTGGCCTCTCCGATGCAGACATGAAGTTGCTTTCACTTTTTAACTGAATGGGTAACACTGCAGCGTGCATTATTCTGCATGTCACATTGTGGTTCTTTTGTGTTCTTTTTTTCTTAGCATAAATCCAGGGATTTATAGGATTGCTGACTGAAAGCCAGCAGTTCAGTTCATAATCCCATCAGCAATGTAAAGAACTCATTTTCAACAGACTCTTACTAGGATAGTTATTGTAAACTTTTCGAAAATTGAATGACCACAAAATCGGGGTGTGGAGAGTGGGGAAACGTCTTCCAATCCAGAAAAACCTAGCACGGCTTTTCGGTCTCTTCTTCGTGTGTTATAGACAAGTGGAGCATTTTTCCCCCCAGAGGTCATATGTTGACCTCACTGTTGTTTAAATAACAATGACAACTCTTTAGAACGGAGTTTTCCTAAATATTTTTGCGTTTATTCCGTCCTGAGAGATGGAGTTTACATGACCCAGTACACACTCTGAAAAGGAAACAAATGCAGAGTGCACTCTATTTCCTATTCAATCTCTTTTTCTTTTCTTTCTTCTTCTTCTTTTTTTAATAATAGAGTCTCCCTGTGTTGCTCAGGCTGGAGTGCAGTGCTAACACTTCAGCTCACTGCAACTTCTGCCTCCGGTCTTCAAACAATCCCTCTGCCTCAGCCTCCCGAGTAGCTGGAATTACAGGCATGCCTGGCTAATTTTTATATTTTGACTATAGATGGGGTTTCACCATGTTGCCCAGGCTGGTCTTGAACTCCTGACCTCAAGTGATCTGCCTGCCTCGGCCTCCCAAAGTGCTGGGATTACAGGTGTGAGCCACTGCGCCCAGCCCTGACTTTATTTTTTATTAATTCACTGGTCAAGACCCACTAAATTGGTTCCATGATCTCGTATGATGATCTATCATAGTTTTAGATTTTCCAGGAGGTTACTCTGAGACGAGGATTCCAGTGCAAGTAGGTCACCTGAGAGGCCACCTCAGGACACATGGATTGAGGATTGGGGCAGGCGGGTGAGCAAGCAGAAAGGGAAGACAGCCAATAAAGGTGCTTATCTCCACAGCCAGACAAAGCCCTCAGGCTCTACAAACTGTGTGTGTGCGTGGGTGCATGCAGGGCATGTGGGTGGGCAGTTACAGCAGCTGTTCGCTAAAAGCTGTCACCCGCAGTGTGTGAAAGTCCTGCATCAGCCCCAACAGTGAGAACGCAATCATGTGCCACAGCAGAGTCCCTTTGAGGAGCCTCCTCATTGCCCAGCAAGCAAAGAAAACAAGCAAGGTTCTGGTCACTGAAGGGGGAACAAGAGCTCTTTGATAGCGCCAGTCAAGCTGAAGGACCTGAAAACAAGAAGAGATGTTGGGGAAAAAGGCAGGTGAATGGGGCCTTTAAAGAGCAGCTGACAACTCCATCCTTCCAAGAACGGAGGTATTGTCACCTGTTCAGCTTCAGTTTTCGTGAGATGGAGAGGCTGGATGTGGAGATGCAGATACTTTTGCTTCTTCCTGTTTAATTGGTGCCTTTGGTTTCTTTTTCTTGCTTAATTGCCCTGGTTAGAACCTCCAGTGTCAGGTTGAATAGGAGAGGTGAGTTGACACCCTTGCCCAGGAGCTCACCTTAGAGGGAAAGTTGTTAGTTTTTCACGATTAAGTAGATGTTAGCTGTAGGCATTTCACAGGCAGTCTTACCATGTTGAGGAAATTCCTTTCTATTCTATTTGTTGAGTATTTTGTATCATGAAGTGCTGTTGAGTTTTCTTTTCTTTTGAGACGGAGTTTCACTCTGTCTGGAGTGCAGTGTTATGATCTTGGCTCACTGACTGCAACCTCTGCTTCCTAGGTTCAAGTGATTCTCTTGCCTCAGCCTCCAGAGTAGCTGGGATTACAGGCGTGTACCACCACGCCCAGCTAATTTTTGTATTTTTAGTAGAGATGGGGTTTCATCATGTTGGTCAGGCTGGTCTCAAACTCCTGACCTCATGATCCACCTGCCTCAGTCTCCCAAAGTGCTGGGATTATAGGTGTGAGCCATCATGCCTGACAGAGAGTAGGTTTTAAATGTTTTTGTCTCAAAAATGATGTGTGTGAGGTAAAAGTTATGTTAATTAGCTTAATCTAGTATTCCAGAACATGTACCTATATCAAAACATCATGTACACTGTAAATATACATAATTTAAAAATATGTTTAAAACGAATCTTTCTTTCTTTCCTTTCCCTCCTTCCCTCCCTTCCTTCTTTCCTTCCTTTCTTTTTCTTTTTCTTTCTCTTTCTCTCTCTTTTTCTTTCTCTTTCTTTCTTTCTTTTTTCCCCTTCCTTCTTCCCTCCCTTCTTTCCTTCTCTTCCCTTCTATTCTTTTCTCTTTCTCTTCTCTTCTTTCTCTGCCACCCTGACTGGAGTACAGTGGTACAATCTTGGCTCACTGCAACCTCCACCTCTCAGGTTCAAGCAATTCTCTGCCTTATGGCCTCCACTGGGCAGATGCAGCATAGAAGGTTCAAGACTCGGCAAGCTGGTGGTTGCTTTGCATGAGGAAAAAGGCATTCCTTCTTTTGAGGCGGCAGACCCAGTCCACATGAAGATGTGTGGCCCAGCAGGTGGAGAACTGAATTATAGCCTTCCTTGCTCCCTGGGCTGGGTTTCCTTGTGCAGTATGCTAACTGCATGTCCCTACAGAGGAGTTTGGCCTCATGCTGATAATGTGTCTGGTACAGAATTGGCAATTAGTTCACATTTTTTTCTCTTCTTTTTTTTTTTGAGATGGAGTTTTGCTCTTGTCACCCAAGCTGGAGTGCAGTGGTGCGAGCTCGGCTCACTGCAACCTCTACCTCCCGGATTCAAGTGATTCTCCTGCCTCAGCCTCCTGAGTAGCCGAGATTACAGGTGCCTGCCACCATGCCCAGCTAATTTTTGTGTTTTTAGTTTCACCATGTTGGCCAGGCTGGTCTCAAACTCCTGACCTCAGGTGATCAACCCGCCTCGGCCTCCCAAAGTGCTGGGATTACAAACGTGAGCCACCATGCCCAGTCAATTAAAAAATTTAAAAAGTAAACAGATCAAAGGGAAGATGAGTTGGCAGCTCCTACTGCTAACTACTACTACCATCCAGGTAGGAATTAGCAAGGTCCTGAAGTCAGTTGTGGCGATGGGAGTCGAGGTAGAGATGGTATCATTCGTTGTCCATACCTGTACTCTTGTGAGTGAAAGGGGGCACTGTTCATCATTATGCTGGGACAGTAGGCATAAATCAAGACTGTCCTGGACAATAGGGACACACTGTTACCCTAAATGGAGGCGATGAGATGGACAAGAGATCTTAAAGGAGTAGAATATACAGGTCTTGTAAAGAAACTGTAGGGAAGTCAAGAGAAACCCCAAAATTTCTCTTGTGGGAAACTGGGGGTCAGTCTCTGCCATAGCCGGTTTCTGTTGGGGGAAGAGGATGAGCTTGATTTTGGACTTGTTCTTTACAGATCAAGCCGGCCCTTTATGGACAGTTCTGGAGAGGCAGGAGGGGGCTCCCTAGCGATCATAGCATATTGTATTGGAGACACTGCAGGACATTTGGCTGAGACTAAGCCCTTGATGTCAAGTCCCTCAGTGATAACATCTCACTGTGTAATAAAGGACAGAAACTGATTTCTTGTCAGTATTCTGCATCTCATCTCTGAAAAGAGGTACTGTCGTGCAGGAAAATAGCTAATGATATAATTGAAAAGGCATTAATAGCCTATAAAATTCAATATTAGAGACACAGAACTTGAAGGACTCTCTAGAGGTCATTTAAAGCCAGGTGACTCTGGATCCATGAGCCCTGATGCTGAGTCATCAGGGGCACAGAAGTAGTTGAAGAACCCTTGGAAATCATCAAGGAAGATTTTTGTGTGATCAGTCTTGTATTCTGCTCTATCATTTAACTGCCTTTCACATCAGGAAGATTTGAGGTCACTGAATAATAGTCAACTTCCAAATATACACATTTGCAAAGAAAATTTAGATTTTAAACTATGATCCTGACTATACTGCGTATATCATGAGAGGCTTTTAAACCCCTAAGAACCTCATTTCCTGTCTTAAAATTCATTATCTTAACACTTTAACTTTGCATTAACACAGAATTTAAATTTACATTTCCTTGTAAAATAAATTAGAAAGCATTTCTTTCTGTGACAACAAGTAGAGAGAAATGTCTTTTGGTTATTCCATAATTAGGCTTCATCCTTCTTTTGTTATGGGGGAAATGATATGATCATTTGGTGGCAAATGACGCAGTGCCCTATATTAATCTCCCAGTGGCCCGATTTCATAATTCACCTTGGCAAAGGAGACAAATAAAAAATAAAA